GTCGTAGCTGGAACTTTAGCCTATTTTGAAGAGCTCGAGCAAAAGTACTATTCGGACGGGATAAAAAAATTGGAACATCGTCTTACCAAGTCTATCGAGCTAAAATGAGACTATGTTGAGAAATTAATCGATTTAATTCCAAAAAACTAGTTTTCGAACAAAAAAAAAATAGTTTTTTTTATCAAAGGCTACTTTTATATCAATCCACTCTCGTATATTCGGTATAAAACAAATCCGCTGTTAGCATGCCTATAGATTTTGTTAAATTGTTATTTACCAACTTTCTACTTTCTAATTAAATTTGTTACGCCTATGCTACGTATTGAAGTAATTTGATTATAATCACCTATCATTAAGTTCTGTTTACTCTCATTTGCTTATCGAGCATCTGAAATGCAATATAGTATTGCATAGGTTCATGTATCGTAGAGAAAACCATTTATTTTCATGCCAGTTAAAGTTTTTATAACTTGGTTATAGGATTCATTACCAATTCAATGTGTGGATTTATTTATTTCAACCAATACAGAAAATTAAATGTCCTCAATATAGTTCATATAAAGCGGATTTTAATGAGTGTTTAATTTCGCAGAGTCTGTTGCTCTGACGCATGAGTAAGCTAAATACAAAATAAGTTTTTAATTAAATTTATACACAACTTTAAGTTACATATTTTAAAATAAGTGATAATATCTAAAAAAAATCCACTAGGAAAGTTCCTGGAGCTGGCTGTATACCATATATCACAAAAAAATTATTTCAAATCCTGTATAAAAGGTATATATTAAAATGCCCAAACGGGCTATCACAATTACATTACACAACGTTTTCGGATTGTTAAATCCATCATCAGTGTAAACGAGGTATACATATACATGCTATGAGCCACCAAAACATATGGGTCAAAACCCTTTAAATGCTATAAATTTACAGTTGTTTTACATTATATATAGTTACAAATTAGGAAGTTACCGTTGGAATTGGTAACATGGCGACGTATGAACCTACATAGGTAAAATGGTTCAGGACTATGTATATATACCCGTTATTTAGGCGGCATATACCCTTCCCCTAGTATGGAGTATGCAGCCCTTATCTCTTGCCGTACTGCTCCTCCATAGGCCGATCAGATACCAGCATATTCTTGGCCAAACCGCAGATTCATTTAGAATTTTTAACTGCTGCGTTAGCCTTTTTGTTTTCTGTACACCGAGCTGGGAATTGAACTGACATCTCTCGCAGTGAAGCGAAGGAGAAGCTAGCCGCCCAGACCGCTTGGCTATCCGATCGACAAGTAATGCTATCTATCGATGATAATTACCGATATTTCAGAAGGAGCTAGCTCTCTAAGATACAATTTGATAGCGGCAGATGTATATATATATATATATATATATATATATATATATATATATATATATATATATATATATATATATATGTATATTATTAAAATATCTTTTTTATTAGAAAAAGATGTCGCATCCACCAAAAGGTTATTAGCGACGAAACAAAATATAAATAACAAAGTTAGACACCTACAGATTGTACAAAATGTTTATGGATCTGAGATAATTCACTATATTTTCATAGGAACAGTTTTGACCTAGAGCCTGTGGTAGAGCGTTTGGGATCTTGTAGCGCTGTCTTTCTTGGTCATATTTACTACAAATTATTTAAAAGTGTTCGACTGTTAATCGGACGTTACACTGATCACATATAGGTGGATTATTCTTTGTGAAAAGGTAGGAGTGCGTTAATCTGGTATGTCCTAGACGTAAACGCGCAACCGCAATTTGTTCCCGTCTATTGCGCGACGATGGAAACCACTGAGACACATTATTTTTAATTTTATTTAGATTGGAATTAGTTCGAGACCACTCATTTCGCCACAAACACAACACTTTATTTTTAAAATAAGCTTTTAAGTCACTGGAACACACTTGTCTATCGGCTCCGACAAATCACTTAAAATAGCCTCTCGTGCAATCCTGTCAGCTTCTTCATTTCCTGTTATTCCAACGTGTGAGGGAACCCATAAAAATTGGACGCTTCTTCCATGTTCATGAGCTTGGAAAAGCTGGTATTTTAGCAACTTTTCAAAAGGATGTTTTGGAAAAATGTATTTTAATGAGTTTAGAGAACTAAGGGAGTCTGTTATGATAAGGGCTTTTGTGAGTGTAAGCTCGTTAAGAAGTTTCACAGCACGGTATATGGCGTAAAGTTCAGCTGAATATGTGCTGCATGCTGAGGGTAAACGGAAAAGAAAATTGTTTTCTGAAGAAACGATTGATGCCCCCACTCCGTCTTCAGATTTAGATGCATCTGTGTAGATTTTATGGTAGTCGGGGTACTTATTTATGAGGGCCTTAAACTTGGACCGAATCAGAGAATGATGTGCATTAGATTTATCTATATACTCTAGAAATGCATCATAAGTTGATATATCGATCAGCCAAGGCTCGGGGTATTTAATATCTGAGGAGAAAACCTCCGGAAAATTTATGTTTAGGTTTTGAAGAATGGATTTAATTCTTTCGTAATATGGTTTTTTAGTATAGCGAATATCTTGGAATAAGTTTACATATTTATTTGTAAAAGTATTTTGATATATTGGCTTTGAAATATTTCCAGCGACTGAGGCTGCATGTGATAGAGCGAGGTACATGCGGCGGTGATGTAGCGATGGGTCTCCTAAAAGAGCATAAATGCTGGATACAGGTGTAGTTGGGAAAGCCCCTAAGATTAGTCTATGACTTTTATTATGAATAATATCTAATGATTTCAGTAGAGATTTATTAGCAGTGGAATAGGCAATTGCTCCATAATCTAGCTTAGAACGTATTAAAGATTTATACAGGAGGAGTAGAGTGGATTGGTCTGAGCCCCAGTTTTTATTACAGAGAGATCTTAATACGTTTATTCTTTTATTACAGGAAAGGATGAGTTGTGAGATGTGATTTTTCCATGTTAACTTTGAATCGAAGATTAAACCCAAGAATTTGTGGTGATCTCTAAACTCCAGCTGTTTCTCATACGTTCTTAGGTTAGGAGGTTGTGGCAAGGAGCTTGAAGAGAATACGACTCCTATTGATTTTTCTATTGAAAATTGAAAACCTGTAAAGTTGGACCAATTTTCGAGAGTATCTAAAAAGTTTTGAAGAATTGATGATATTGAGGAAATATTTTTACCTTTAATAGATACCACTAGGTCATCAGCGTATAAACGAGCCTGTAAGGGTGCTTGAATGTTTTTAATGATGTCGTTTATTGCTACCAGAAATAGTGTTGGACTGAGTATGGATCCTTGGGGTGTACCATTTTCCAAACTATAAATATTTGAAGAGATATTATTTATTTTTACTTGAAAAGATCTGTTATTTAAAAAGTTTTGGATGAAAGCAAGGCAGTGACCTTGAATATTCCATTTATAAAGTTGTCTTAAAATGTTGTATTTCCAAGCTTTATTAAATGCACGTTCTAAGTCAAAAAATATAGCAACACATTTTTGGTTTGTAGCAAGAGCTTCATGTATTTCACTTTCTAAATCTAAAATGTTGTCTGTGGATGACCGATCTTTTCTAAAGCCATTTTGCTCTGAGATTAAGAAATTGGAATTTTCTAAAACCCATGAGAGTCTGGAGTTAACAATATTTTCTAGTAATTTGCAGGTTGTCGATGTCAGAGATATGGGTCGATATGATTCTGGGTCATATTTAGGTTTATTAGATTTTAGGAGAGGAATGACTATTGCATTTGACCAAATAGCTGGCCATTGGTGGTGAAGCCAAATTCTGTTGAATACGTTTAAGAGATACGTTATGGCTGAAACAGGGAGATGTTTCAGAAATGCTGAAGGAATATCATCAGGCCCAGGACTAGAGTCCTTCAAGTTAAGAATAGATGAGTTTATCTCTTGAAAAGTGATGGAATGGTTTAATGAATTATTTTGTGCTTCAAACAGATAAATGGGATTTTGTTCGGCGAATTCTTTGGCTTTGAGAAAATTGGTGGTATACTGTTGATTCGATGAGTGGCTTTGATAGATTCTTCCAAAAATGTTTGCAATATCGCTGCTCGATGTTATGAAATTATTATTTTCTTTTAGCCCCGTGAAATTATATGAAGTATGTAAACCAGAAATTTTCCTTACTTTGTTCCAGACATCAGAGAGGGGGTATTGCTATTAATTTCCGATACGTATTTGTTCCATGAATATTTTTTAGCCGTTTTGACAGTTAGCTGTGCCCTTGCTTTAAGCATTTTGAATTTTAATTTATTTTCGGATGTTTTATGTTTTTTGTATCGGTTTAGGGCTGATTTACTTTCACGGATTGCTGTCGCACAACGGTCATTCCACCATGGTACAGGACATCGGCCTTTAACAGATTTAGATTTACCAATAAATTTGTGGGCGGCGCTTAAGATAAGTTGATTAAACTGCTCTACATTCGAGTTAACATCGTCTGTTATATGCAAACTGGAAATGTTATTATCGATATATTGGGAGAATTTTTGCCAATTTGCATTTTTTATTCTCCACTTAGATATGAATATGGGTCCTGATGAGGGATAATTATGGTTTCTAATTAGGATTGGAAAATGGTCACTACCATATGTATAGGTTTGAGCATCCCAACTGAGACAATGAGCTAAATTTGGGTCGCAGAGAGTTAAATCAATGCATGAGGAATATCCTGTTGAAATATTGAATCTTGTAGGGCTACCATCAATAAGAAAATTTATATTAAGTTGATCTAAGATATCGGCAATACTTGAACATCTGACAGACGTGTGATCTGAACCCCATATCGCTGCTCTAGAAGAACAATGACGTAACTGACAAAATGATAATTGTTCAGGAAACGCAAAAAACCGAAAGTTATTTTTTAAAAACGCCATAATTCAAAAGTTAATTTCTCTATTGAATTGGGACTCGGGCAAATTGTTACAATAAGGTTCACACCAAAGTTCAAAACATTTTTTTTGTTAAAATTCACCCCGTGCCTCCACCATCACCCCCCCTTTAGCAAATGCGTCATTGTTCTCCTAAAATTATGAGTCAAAATAACAAATTCTGACAAAAAAGGAAAGGGGAAAAAAGTAGTTCTTGATAACAATTTGATTGCTGTCTAGGTGCCGTTTCACATGTAGCCGACGCCGACGGTCAGCGCTGACCGTCAGTGATGATGAATAAATGCATTGCATTGCACAGCTGATTATACGCAAGGCATGTGAAATGGTTAGTTTGCGCTAATGCATTTAATTTATCATCACTGACGGTCAGCGCTGACCGTCGGCTACATGTGAAACGGCACTAAGACTATCATTTATTTTCAGAAACTTGAACAAACAGTGTAAAGTAAGCAAAACTAGATTGTAGATTAAATTATACCAAACTAAACATAGTAACTGAAAAATACAATCATTAGTAGGTAACAATAAACAAAAAATGTAACAGGGTTTTCTAATTATTTAAAGGATCATAGAACCATTTATAATAGCTGGGAATTATGTTGCTGTTTACCAAACTATTTGAATCTCGAACTTTATTTTCTGAGAGTAGTATTTTTAGTATACGCAGGTTTCAAAGCGATATTAGTTGCTTTTATATTCTCTGCTGAACGCCTTTTCTTTCCTGTAAACTGAACTTGACTCCATTCTAATTGTTTATAGCTATTCTTGTAGTAAAACGTATTACTTCCTTTTTCAAATTGAAGTATTTTAACCTCACTCAATTTGAAGATATTTCCGTCTACGTCTTTTGCCATGTCAGGTGCCATCTCATCATGCAACGCCTTAATGTTCTTAAAATCTGCAAAACCCATTTCTGTGGCACGCAGAGGCTCTCCCTTCTTTTTCGCTTGTCGGATAATGGTTACATATTGGTCAGGTACATAAATCGGCCCAGACCTCTTAGCACTCTTTAATGACTTTTCTATGATGCTATAAATTGCGTCACCTTCATTTTGCGTGTGACCACGAATTAAGTACTTGTGAAATATACTGAATGTTAAGCTGCTGAACCGCATACAAATACATCGCTATGACGAATCTACAAATTAAATACTTATGTGAAATCTACAAAATCTGTCATTATCTGACGGTCTATTAGTTTGACAATGACGTTAATAACAGTTATGAAGTAAATAAAGCTTATTAACAGGTTCAATAACGACGAAAAGTACAATTAGGTCACACAATTGAAATAAGACCCTAAATAAACAATGACACAAAGTACACTTATGTCGTTGTTGCACTGGAATCTTGATCGAAGTGGTTCAAATTGCACCAAATCTTCCAATTGTGTCGTTGTTCCACTGGACACTAACACAGACTCACTAACGTCAAGGACTGAACTGAATCATGTGGCACTGTTCTTCCGAAACTACGCCACAAACATCCAATATTTCTACAATGACGTAACTTCCTCTAGCGGCGATAAGAGCAACTACATTTGCGTCGTTGTTCTCCCATGTGTGTTACATATTTTTGAGAACAGGGACGTATTTAACTGCAATTACCATATTTTTGCAGTTACGTCATTGTTCTTCTGGAACGGCGACATTATGTTGTGAGCATTAAAGTCGCTTAGAATTATACGAGGACGTGACAGTTGCTCTAATAACCTGCAGAGGCTATCAGAACTTACTTATTTGTCACAAGGAAGGTAAACATTGCAAATAGATACTAAACTGGTAGATAGGATTCTGATTACAACGGCCTCCAAATCACTGACTATTGGAATTTGTATCGCCTCGATGGATTTGTTTACTAGTATTGCTACACCACCGCTTGCACGACTTGCATCTGTACGGTCTTTGCGGAAACAGGTAAAATTTTTTGAATTGTACAACTGATTGGTCTTTAAGTTTGTCTCCTGTAGACAAATAATATCTGGAGAATATTCAGATAAAAGAAGCTGTAGCATAGGGAGGCGATGGAAAAATCCATCAATGTTCCATTGAAGTATTGAGTTGAATGCTGTTAACAGATTCGGAGTTAGATGATACTGAACAATTGTCTACAGAAGAGTCACTATCTAAGTCAGAAATCTCTTTCCCTAAATGGTTGATTAGTTTTTTTTGAAGTTTTGTAAACTTGCTTTTTGTAGATCTATCATTTGCATATTGATAGCTGCTTTTTAAAAGATGGATTAAACCAGCCATATCAGTTGTGAATTCTTTAACGACGCTAATAGTGTCGGGGGAGCCTTGGACATTATCAATCAGTAAGGACAATTGGTGGAAATTTAAAACGAATGGTGGGGTATGATTATCAATGAAATTTTCAAGAGTTTCCCGTGTAGATGGAACTTGAGATGAGCGCGGTTTTTTTTGTTTAGAGGGTTTGGGTTTTGCAAACAGATTTTCTGATGAAATTGCTGAGTCTGAAGGAGGCGTGTCGATCTCACCAATACTGCGTTTTATGGAAGAAGTTGCGTTTTCGCAATTGCTATTAGAGTTTTCACGTAGATGCTGTGGCTTTATTACATTTGGAAGTACTGGAGCAAATTCATTGGTAGTGACAGAAGTCGAGCTTGAAGTTTTATTTGTAAGATTGGTTGAAATGGTTGTTTCAAAAAATTGTGATGATGTATCAGTTTTATTAGAATTTTCTGCAGTTGTATCTAATGGAAAAGGAGCTGATACATTGGAAAATATTGCTTCCGAAGTTTGTGAAAAAGGTATTGCCGCTGAATGAGGTTGATTAAAAGTGTTGCTATGAGTAGGAGTATTAGTAATTTCTTTGTCATGGAGATTTGTAGGTGTAGGTGATATGCTCGGATTTGATAATGGATAACTTGATGACTGCTGGGTGTTTGGTACCTTGTGTAGTATACTTGTTGACGCTGTTTGATTTGGTACTTCATTGTTTGACTCAATATGAGTTGATTCCGTTACTGAACTGTTTTTGCATTGGGATGATATGTGCCCTGTATTTTTGCAAATAAAGCAGGTGAGTGTACCTTGTGACAAAAATATGCGGTAAGGTGTTTGGTCGAAATTTATTAGAATAGAATCTGGAATTGGTGATGTTATAGGGCTTATATAAACTTGCCTCCGAAAGCTCAATATGTGACTATATTCGGGAGGAGTCGAGCTAATTTTCAGAAATGTTATTGGAGAAATAAGCTTTAAACCGATATTCTGTAATTCTTCAACTAATACTTGATGAGGAATTGACGGGCAGACTCCAGACAAGACTAGTCTTTCTGCTGGAGAGACAAGTCTTCTTGCTGTTACCACTTCGCCGAGTACTTCTATAGAGCCATATTGTGTCATGAAGTTATCTACTACGGTCTTGTTTGCCAAATACATGCAGATTCTATTATGAGATAATCTAGATGAAAAAATAATATTTTTTGGGTTGATGATTGTGCCCAAAGGAATGAGATAATCCTGCAGTTTAGCATTATCGATACAACTAAATACAATTGCTTGGTTCTTACTCGGAAAAGAATGTGAAGCGGCTGAAGCATAACTGTTTGTGATATTCGATCGTTGATTTACTGGACTGGTTAGATCGGAAGGTGTGTTTACATTGTGTGAAGTCATTTTGAGGTGCGGTGGCGAAGGCCTTACTCCGACTCTGGTAAGTGAAAAACCAGTCGCATGCTACTGTTACGATAATTATGGCGTTTATAACTATCAATATATTATGACTAATTCTGGTTTCTGTCCCAGTAAATTCGAAGTTGTTTACAGAAACCTGTAGACCCTAATTTTATGAGTAATCCACGTCTCGAGGCTTTTCAAACAGTTGAAAAACGAGTCGAGCGCCTTCACCAAAATACGAGATATTCAAGAAGTTCGCCGAATTTTCTAGATGACAACAGTTGTGTATATAAATGAAAGATTTTTTTTAATGGAGTCAGTCATAAGAAGATCGGGAAACGCGGTTTACTTGTAAAGAAACGTGACATAAATACATTTGTACAGCTATTTAATAAATTAGTAATTAGTTATCGTGAGTTTTAATAAATTAGAATATAGACAATAAATTAGAATAAAGACAAATAAATTAGAACAATATAAAATATATAACAGTGGTGTCAGAAGTGGGATTGTAGATAAATTTAATTTGAATTTTTGAAAAGAAGTGAAATTGGTGAACAATGGCTACGATTTACGAGCTCACAGTTACGAATCTAAGAAGGCATCTTGAAGACAGAGAATTAGCTTCTACCGGAAAAAAGACTAAGTTAGTACAACGACTAAAGAAGGCTTTGGAGGAAGAAGGTTTGAATCCGGAAACTTATATATTTGAAGACAAGCATGCTGCTGTCATCTCGTCGATTTCGAAATTAGAAAATAAGGTTTCCGGCGACATCGCTTCCTTAGAAGACAAAGTTACTAACGAGATTTCTTCTCTAGAAAGCAAATTTTCTGCTAATATCTCCTTGGAAATCTCTAGAGTCACTTCGGAGATGTCTGCCCTCGATGATAGAGTATCTTCGCTAAAAAACCGAGTTGCTGCCGATATGTTGGCCTTCAAAGAGAAGATAAAAGAGACGGAAAGGAAGATGGAGGAAACAGTGACAGCAGACAGAGAAAACAATCCAATTATAGCAGAGACAAAAGAAAGGGAGACGAAATGTAAGTTGGAAACACGGCCGAAATTTGAAGGAAGCGGGGGTTATGTTCATGTCAAAGTTCCAACTTTCGACGGAAAATCGTCATGGAACAACTACATGAAACAGTTCGAATCAGCTGCAAGAGCGAATGGATGGTCAGAAAAAGAAAAGGCTGTAAACCTGACTATAGCTCTTCGAGGAGATGCCTTAGATGTGCTCCAGAACATAGCCGTAGAGGAGACGGATGATTTCGAACAACTGAAGAAGAGGTTAAATATGCGATATGGCCACGAACACTTGGAGCATGTATATCAGTCGCAGCTCAAAAATCGAAGACAAAAGAAAGATGAGGCTCTTCAAGAATATGAAGTAGATATCGCCAGATTAGTGCGATATGCTTATCCAACAGCTCCCGATTCAAACGTTTATTGATGGTCTTCGTGATCATGAGATGCAAAAAACACTACGAT